AGGCATCGTAGGTTCGGGGCAAAAGCTACCGATGCTACCGACACCGGGACGGTGGGACAAATCGGATCCGAACACTATACTAAGGGTCTTATGCCACCGGAACGATCGAGTCGCGGACCAGTTTGTAAGGAAGGCATTCCAATTGGAAAAAAAAGGCTTGACATATAATGTTGATATTGTGCATATTAGATGAGTTCTTCTGGTTCCGGGTGAAATCAAGCCATTGGTTCTCAATGATCTAACTATGTTAGGCAATTGTAAACATGTAAATATATATTTTTGTGCTGTAATTGTAACTATTTCTAAGAATCTGATCCAAAGAACTATTCCTTTTGCTCCTCTTGATGAGAAACCTTTAATCTCATCACCTTCAATTCTTCTGTGAGCACACGCATCGAATCTGAAACCTCGACCTTGTACACTTAAAACTTGATTACTACCGCGAAGAAGATGAAGTTCAACAAGCAGAGTACCGCAAAATATGCAAAATAGCAGTCAAGACGAGACTTGTTTAGGTTGTTCAATATCCGTCCTTGATGACCATGCCTTCGAGTAACATCGGAAACCGTCGACAGAAGGAAGCTGCTGAGAAAATGCCTGATCCCATGACTAGTAGGATAATAAGAAGCTCTGAGACTCTTCATGCTTTCCAGTGCTTGATCGTAGAAGAACTCGAGCTTAGCCACCTCTAGAAATGCATCGGCCGTCCCCATAAGGACAAATTGGGGAAGTAAAATGAATATGGTTTATGGAAATTGGCCTCTCTTTTCAACTAGGCCATGTTCTCTAGCCACACTGAGCCTATGCTTCTCGGTTAAAGAAGCAATCACCATGATCATGATATGAAGTACAAGGCCAATTCCCATCCTTTGAATAAGAGTGAGGCCCCTCGGATTCTAAGTCCATTTTCGGATAACCGGAACGAAGCAACGATCATAGAGGACAACGGAAATAAGCACTAGCTGGGGGGATCTTGAAGTTTCCCATATGTCTGTCAAGCGTGGTGCCTTGTCTTACAAACAATGTATTGACTTGTGCGGTCATGGCGCTTGGCACCAATGTGGCTATCAATATTGGGATCATTCACAGCATTTGTTTAGTTTCCTCTACTTTTACTGAGCACAGCATCCATGGATCGGTCGATCCCATTTTCACATCAACCTTATTCAAAAACATGCAATTTATATGCACGCAAACTCGATTAACAACGCCAATCGAAACCAAACTAATTGAGCGGATTATATTTGTAGCTTACCTCAAACCTAACGTTGACTCAATCTTGAACTTCCCATTCCTAGCATAATCTAACGAGTCAAGTTCATAAAGTTCCTTAGGGTCACTAGGAAGTGGCACCTTCCATTTCCGAGCCGCAGCCACTGTGACTGAAGTCATCGTCGTGATTGGACTCCCGGCAGGCTTCTGCTGCCGATAAAACGGGGTTCCGGATACAAAAATCAGTACCGAAATAATGATCCCCACGGTGGGCAAACCGTACCCTAAGGTCCAACCAACATTGTCTTGAATGTAAATAAGAGCAGTGTTGGCAAAGAGTGTTCCATAGAAGAGGCTAAACATCCACCAATTGAAGAAAGATAGCTTCTGAGCCTTCTCTTTCGGATGGAAATCGTCGAACTGGTCGGCACAGATCGTCGAGATGTTCGGTCTCGTGCCTCCGGCTCCAAAAGCGATTATGTATAATGCACCTAAAAACACAGCTAACTGTGCTGTTGACGCCTTCTTGCAATCTTGTACATTGGCTTGGTGACAGGGTGGTGGTTTTAGTCCGGGGACTGATACTGATAATGTCAGCAATGTCATCCCCTGTTTAAATTTAAATATAATTAATAACTATAAAAAAATAATATTCATACTTAAAAATTTAAATAAACTTACAGCAAAGTAAATAACAGAGAATATGATGATGGTCCAATATCGTCCGGACAAGCGTCGGCAATATAGGCACCCTCAATTTGAGTTCTTTATTTTATTAGTATTGTATAGTGAGGTATACGTTCTTATGTTAACAAAATATAATAGGATAAATTATCCATTTAGTCTCTAAATTATAAGGTTAGTTTTATTTTGATCACTGAATAATTTCTTTTATCAATTAGGTCACCAACATTTGATTTTTAATGGCAATCAAATCATTGGTCGTTGCTGAGAATGACTACCACTGTCAAAAGAATAAAACTTCACTCCACAGTCCCAATAACGACAAGGATAATTCTACACTAGGCATTGAAACCCTCCAATACCAATATACCATTGAAGAATCTCCGAATTCATAAATATCGATACCTCTTCAATGTAAGCATCAACACACCCCCACCCACCTTTTGTAGAATTGTTATAGTTTCTATCATAAATCTCGGATTAAACCATTTTATGGTATTCTCTAGATTAAGGAGGACAATTCGATATACCTCCAAGAATTACCTCTAGAAACTGTCAATTCTTCGTCAGAAAAGGCCTTCAGACCAACTCCTTGCTTATTGGATCATATAAGAAACCCTCGATGTCTGGGCACTATGAGACAACTACAATGCATAGACAAAACCTCTTACATGTCCGCATAATACATCATAACAAAATCTAAGATCTAACTACCATATCTATCTAAACTCACTAATCTCATAATTATTTTATGTCTAACATCAACGACTAGGGTCAATATAAATACTCCCAACTAAGACTAATAGAGATGTCAAACCTTCGACCATCTATAGACGAACTTCATCTTCTTCTTTATGACCCTTTTTCTCTTACAGAAAAACATTTGCGGACAACCTTGTTGATTGCAATTCTTCGTCCAAATCAGAATTGATGTCAAGGAATACAATTCGATTTCAGTTTCTTTTTCCTTTTTAAATATCTTATTGCAATGACTTATGAAAAAGACGGATTCAGAAATTAAAAAAAATGGGATTAAAAAATTTTAATACTCTTTTTTCTAATAAAATAAATATACAAAATTTCTTTTTTTCTTCTCATTCCCTTAATATATTGAATTATATTTAAATGTTTAATAACTTATCTAAAATAATGGGTATGCACTTAACCCCGTCCTGAAAGTAACTTTGATTTTTATTTTATTTTGCCCCCATAATAAATGTTATAGAAAAAGCAAAGGTTTGATTAAACAATTAATTAAACATCATTTTTGTTATTCTAATTGCAATGGCTAATCAAAGCTATGGAACATGCTATAAAGAATATATTCACTCCCCCATTAATTCTAAACCAAAGTTTAATTAATAATTTATAAAATTATAATTATTAAGAAATAAATATTATTTATAATTCATTCTTTAAAAGTGCTATTTTATAGGTATTTGTAGGGGTGTGCAAAACTAGCATCGACTCGAAAAATCAAATTTTTAATTTCGAGTTCAACTCGAATTATCAATTCGGTTTTCGAGTTTGTTTCGAGTTGAAATTTTGAAATTTCGAGTTACTCGAACAACAAAAAATTTGATTAAGTATTTTGATAGTTTTATGATTTAGTCCCTGATTTCGTTATTCATTCAATTCCTCCTTTATTTTAAATCCATTTTTTACCAAATTTGAACACTTGCTCATAAACTATCTTAGAATACTTATGTACTTTCAATTCCTCTTTTCTTTAACAAATTTTTTATTTTTCAATTTAGTCACTCTATTTTTCATAATTTTTTTATTTCTTAAATTCATTCTTTATTTTAAATCTGTTATTACCAATTTGAACCACATGCTCATATTCCACAATAGAATATCTATGTAACTTCAATCCTTACTTTTTTTTAACTAAAAATGTGTTCTCTCTTTTTTTTATTTAGTCCCTTAACTTTACATTTTATTCAATCTGGTCTTTTAGTTACAATTGTTTGCGATTTCTTTCTTTCCATCAATTCATTGGCTCCTTTATACTCTTATCAATATTTTACCTTGAAATACATTCTTTAAAATATAATATTATGAATATATTATGTAACTTAGATTGTATTTGATATATTAAATAACATTATGATGTGAAAAGATTAATATATATATATATATATATATATATATATATATATATATATGGTTTGAGAAAGTCAAAAAATTGTAACAAATTCTTTTCATAATACTATAAACAATTATCATAAAATTAGTATGTAAACTCTAATAACTCGATTCGAAAAAATTTTAAGTTTAGTTCGAGTTGTAAAATTTGACTTGTCAACTTGAAATATTTTGACTCGACTTGATCAATGTATTTGAAGGTTTATTATGATACACTCAACTTATTTCGCTTTATGAACCGTGAGAATATTTGAGTGACTAAAATATGTACTACAACTAAGAATTTTAAATAACTGGAAGTGCAGGGAATTGAACCCTGTGCCTCTCGCATGCGAAGCGAGCGCTCTACCATATGAGCTACACCCCCACGGTTAGCATGTTTCCTTGTTAATCCTTGTGTATGAGACAATGTCTCCGTTTTCCAGTTTCGAACTAGTCTTTGCATGGTTGTTATGGTCCGAATACAGCAACTGACAACATATTATGATCTAATATTCATATTCTGAATAATTTATGTGTTGCTAAAACTTGTAAATATATATTTATGAAGGGTTATTTAACAGTCTAAAATGGTAAACATGTGAATATATATTTTTGGGCTGTAATTGCCTATAAATATTTCTAAGAATCTGTTCTAAAGGGCCATTCCTTTAGCTCTTCTTGATGTGATACCTTCAATCTCTTCATCTTCAGTTCTGTAAGCACACGCATCGAATCCGAAACCTCGGCCTTGTACACATGAAACTTGATTACTACCACGAAGAAGATGAAGTTCAAGCAGTTGAGTACTGCAAAAAATGCATAATAGTAGTCAAGATGGGACTTGTTCATGTTGTTCAATATCCATCCTTGATGACCTTGCTTTCGAGTGACGTCGGAAACCGTCAACAGAAGGAAGCTGCTGAGGAAATTCCCCATCCCCAGACTCGAAAGAAAATAAGAAGTTTCGAGACTCTTCATGCTTTCCGGCGCTTGGTCGTAGAAGAACTCGAGTTTATAGCCACCTCTAGAAACGCATCAGCTGTTCCCACGAGCACAAATTGCGGAAGTAAAATGAATATGGTTAATGGAAGTTGGCCACTCTTTTCAACTAGGCCATGTTCTCTAGCCACACTGAGCCTATGCCTATCGGTTAAAGAAGCAATCACCATGATCATGATATGAAGAACAAGGCCAGTTCCCATCCTTTGAATCAGAGTGATGCCCCTCTGATTCTTGGTCCATTTTCGGATAACCGGAACGAAGCAACGATCATAGAGGATGACGGAAATAAGCATGGAAATCGTCACGAATGCAGCTAAACTAGCTGGGGGGATCTTGAAGTTTCCCATATGTCTATCAAGGGTAGTGCCTTGTCTTACAAACAATGTATTGACTTGTGCAATCATGGCGCTTGGCACCAACGTGGCAATCAATATTGGGACCATTCTTAACATTTGTTTGGTTTCCTCTACTTGAGTTACTGAGCACAGCATCCATGGATCGGTCGATCCCGTGTTCACGGCAGTCTTATTCAAAAACCTGCAATTTATATGCACGTAAACTTGATTAACGACGTCAATCGAAAAGAATTAATCGAGCCGATTATATTTGTAACTTACCTCAAACCTGGTGTTGACTCAATCTTGAACTTCCCATTCCTGGCATACTCTTCCGGATCAAGTTCATAGAGTTCCTTAGGGTCACTAGGAAGTGGCATACTCTTCCCATTTCCTAGCTGAAGCCACTATGACTGAAGTCATCTTCGTGATCGGACTCCCGACGGGCTTCTGGTGCCGATAAAACGGGATTCCGGATACGAAAATCAGAACCGAAATAATGATCCCCAGTGTGGGCAAACCGTACCCCAAGGTCCAACCAACATTGTCTTGAATGTAAATAAGAGCTGTGTTGGCAAAGAGTGTACCAAAGAAGATTCTGAACATCCACCAATTGAAGAAAGATAGCTTCTGAGCCTCTCCTTCGGATGGAAACCGTCGAACTGGTCCGCCCCGATTGTCGAGATGCTTGGCTTCGTGCTGCCGGCTCCGAATCTCTCTAAACTCATCTCATATTCCTTAACCAGTTAGATTTTGTTTCATTTTAATACCCCCGTTCAAAATTTAATGTTAAGTTTTGAAAACAATTGAAAGTTTAGGTACTAAAACGGACAAAACCTGATAGTTTAGGTACTAAATACGTTTTTAACGGTAGTGTACTAAAATGAAACAAAAACTAAACGTTAGGTATGATTTTAAAAAAAAATAAAAGTTTAGATACTAAAACGGATCAACACTGATAATTTAGGTACTAAATACATAGTTTACCCTTGAATTTATTTTCAGCCTCAAAAAATCTTTGAAGAAATTTTCCCATGAAATGGTTGATGATCAGACCCAAATGCCTTAGAAAAATATTTCATTGTAACCCTTGTTATTTTTTATGTAAAACAATTTAGTCCCTCTTAATCCTTGTAGTTTTATAATGATTATCATTGTAAACGTGGCTCAAGTTTAACCCAAAAAAAAAAAATACACAACATTTCACTGAAGTGATAATTTGTTCAACACTATACCATCAAGCTATTCCTTAAGCAGTTCTTGATTTGATGCCTTTAATCTCATCACCTTCAGTTCTTCCGTGAGCACATGCATCGAATCCGAAACTTCGGCCTTGTACACATAAAACTTGATTATCGACACGAAGAAGATGAAGTTCAAGAAGTTGAGCACTGCGAAAAATGCATAATAGTAGTCCAGATGAGACTTGTTTAGGTTGTTCAAGATCCATCCTTGATGACCATGCCTTTGAGTGATATCGGAAACCGTCGACAGAAGGAAGCTGCTGAGGAAGTTCCCTATCCCCAGGCTCGTGCTCGAGTAAGAAGTACCGAGACTCTTCATGCTTTCCGGGGCTTGATCGTAGAAGAACTCGAGCTTAGCCACCTCTAGGAACGCGTCGGCTGTCCCCATAAGCACAAATTGGGGAAGTAAAATGAATATGGTTAATGGAAGCTGGCCACCATTTTCAACTAAGCCATTTTCTCTAGCCACATTGAGCCTATACCTCTCGGTTAATGAAGCAATCACCATGATTAGGACGTGAAGAACAAGGCCAACTCCCATCCTTTGAAGCAGAGTGATGCCCCTCGGATTCTTGGTCCATTTTTGGATAATCGGGACGAAGACACGATCGTAGAGGACGACACAAACAAGCATAGAAATCGTCACAAATCCGTGTAAACTTGCAGGAGGGATATGGAAGCTCCCCATTCGTCTATCAAGGGTGGTGCCTTGCTTTATAAACAATGTATTGATTTGTGCAATCATTGTGCTTGGCACGAATGTGGCAATCATTATTGGGATCATTCTCAGCATCTGTTTAGTTTCCTCTACTTGAGTTACAGAGCATAGCATCCATGGATCAGTCGACCCCGTTTTTACAGCGGCCTTATTCAAAAACCTGTGATTTATATGCACGTAAACTCGATTAACGACATCAATCGAAACCGAACTAATCGAGCGAATTATATATGAAACTAACCTTAAACCTGGTGTTGAATCAATCTTGAACTTCCCATTCCTAGCATACTCTTCCAAATCAAGTTCGTAAAGTTCCTTGGGGTCACTAGGAAGTGGCACCCTCCATTTCCTAGCGGCGGCCATTATGACAGAAGCCATCCTCGTGAACGGACTCCCGGTGGGCACCCTATGCCGATAAAACGGGGTTCCGGCTACGAAAATTATAACCGAAATGATGAGCCCGATTGTGGGCAGACCATACCCCAAGGTCCAACCAACATTGTCTTGAATGTAGACAAGAACTGTGTTGGCAAAGAGTGTACCAAAGAAGATGCTGAACATCCACCAATTGAAGAAAGATAGCTTCTGAGCCTTCTCTTTTGGATGGAAATCGTCGAACTGGTCGGCACCGATTGTCGAGATGTTCGGCTTCGTGCCGCCGGTTCCGACGGCTAGCGTATATAGTGCACCAAAAAACACAGCTAACTCTAACGTTGATGCCTGCTTGCAATCTTCTACATTGGGTAGGTGACAAGGTGGTGGTTTTAGTCCAGGTACTGATACTGATAATGTCAGCAATGACATCCCCTGCTTGATCAAGAAGTGAGTTATTTTATATTAAACATTAGTATTAATATATTAAAAATTATATAAAATGTCTAAAAATATATAATATAACTATTAAATCATTTTTTCATTTTTTTTTGGTTCAAGGAATACCTTTAATTTATTAATTTTCAATCTCATTCCATAAACCATTTAGGCGACCAACCAACTTAAATATATATAATAACTTACGAAAGTTATTTTATAGATTAAGGGATTGTTGTTATTCTTTGAGATCTCGGGATCGAGCATTGCGTATGTAGGACATGAATGTTCATTGTCATACTCACATAAGAATATTTATAACATTAAATTCTCAAACTGTTTTTATTTGAAAAATATATGTATTTTCCTTAACCTTTGTTAAACTTTGCTATTAATTTTTAGGGTAAAGTACACCAATAGTCCTTTGACTATAGGATACTATTTTATTAAGTCTATCAACTACGAAAAGTTACAAAATCGTTACTCAATTATTCTTTATATTCTAAACTCATTATTTTTCGTTAAAAAATTGGTGGTCATATGAGCTGGACGTTAACATGATGATTCGAATATGATAGTCATTTGAGATTCTGAAATCATATTTTATCATATCACAATCAACAGGTTAACGTTCAACTCAGAATACCGTCAAATTTAATTTTTAATGACAAAAGACATGTTTGGGACATAATGAATAGTCAAGGGAATCGACAAAGCAACACTCTATAGTCGAATGATCATTTTATAACTTTTAATAGTAGAGGGACTTAACAAAATAATACGCTATAGTCGAGGGATCATTTGTGCACTTCACCCTAATTTTTAATATGACAACTTCGACTGTAATTTCACATGACAATTTTGACTATAATAATCAGTGGTTCACATGACAATTTTGACTATATTTTCAACACGGTATACACCCTTTTAGTCATCAATCATCTCTAACAATAATACCAAGAAGAAAAGTATTCAGTCAAAGATTAACATTTCTTTTTAATAATACGTACACTTACATATTTTAAACACTAAATTTTTAAATAATATATCGGTTTTATGTTCTCCTCGATCTATTCCTGATTATAGGACAAAAATTTAATAAGTTTATATGATTGGTTTTATATTCTCCTCGTTCTATTCCTGATTATCGGACCTAAAAATTTAGAAGAACTTACGGAGATGTAAATGATAGAGGCGCAGACGAAGGTCCAATATCGACCGAGATGAGCATCGGCGACATAGGCACCCAAGATCGGAGTGATCCAAATGGTGCCCACCCAGTTGGTGACGTTGTTGGCCGACTTCACGGTGCCTTGATGGAGCTTCCGAGTCAAATAAAGCACTAGATTCGACGATATTCCATAATACGCCATTCGTTCAAACACTTCATACACTGCACCAAAACAACATACAAGTTTGGACTCTATTCTAATAAATCTGCGCCCCTTGGAATGAACACTTTATGTAGCAATGATAATTAGGGTAGGGATGACCATTTTATTTAGATTTTATAGGTTTTAATCTAACTCGATTTGATTTTCCATTTTGATAATTCAGGTTTATGTCAGATGAAAATATTTGTAGGAGCGATTGGGTCGGGTCAGATTTTAACCTAAAACATTAGGTCGAGTTTGAGGTCAGTTGGGGCTCTCCAAAACCCGAGTTGGATGCCGGTGAGGGACTTCAACTTTTGAATTGGGTTCAGATGGGTTAAAAATCCAATCCGACCCGACTCATTGTCATCCCTAATGATAATGATCTGGAAACTGAAACAAATTGATCCGAATAGAATTTCAATATTTATTATTTTAAATTTAGAAAATAAGATTATATAATAATTTTAAGTTATATATTTTTTTCTCAACCCTAATTTTTGGTAGTTCTTGTTTTGTTATAGGGTCGATGTTCATTATCATGTGCTTAGGTTTTGTTGTCTTTATGGAGTACATGAAATAATGAAAAGAGGATGGCATTTTAATTCGGGTACCTTTCTCTATTAATGATCATATATATGAAATCTTTCATATATATTTTGTAACTGGATTATACATAATTTACCCATTAAATATAAGGGTAAAATATACAAATGGTCCTCCGGCTATATGGCGTTACTATGTTGAGTCTCCCGACTGTTAACATTTATAAAATGTTTCTCCGATTACAGGGTGCTATTTTGTTGAGTCCCTGACTATTAAAAGTTACAAAATTGTCACTGATTATTCATATGCTTCGAACTCGACTTTTCTATTAAAAAATTGACGATTGTTTGATTTGGATGTTAACTTATTGAGTGAGACATGTACAACTCAAATGGTTATGGGATCAGATTTTATCATATCCCTATCAACAAGTTAACGTCTAGCTCATACGACTGCCAATTTTTTAACATAAAAAGACGAGTTTAGAAGATACAAATAGTCGAGCGATCATTTTAAAACTTAACAAAACAATATCCTATAGTCAATAAACTTAACAAAGCAGTGTCCTACAATGTAGGGCCGTTTATATACTTTACCCTGACGTTTTATAAATATTTTAATAGTCAAGCAATCTATTTAATCTTATTTATGAAAGTTTTTCAATTTCATTTGGAAAAAGCGTGTGGGAGTTGTGGGGGAGCTTTTCTATTTATTATTTGGTAGTTGAACCAAATCAATGCTTTATCAAACTCTACCATGCGTTCACAAGCTAACGAAAACTTCCCTTTTTAATTGCTAAAACAAACTCTACATGCTCATATGAATAAGGTAAAGAGATCATCGATATCGAGATTTGAATGTCGGACATATCAAATGTAAAAGAGACTCCGAACTTAATCTTTAGGTATAAGTTTCGGATTCGGATTCGAACATCTGCGACTCCTTTCTTCATCCCGAAATCGAGACCACGAAAGGCGGGGAAATTTGAGTAAAAGAGATGAAAAAGTTACCAACAACAAAGGAGCAAGCAGTCCATCCACCTCTCTCGGATCTACGAACAGGGTTTCCTCTAAGATCCACGGTTCCATCTTGGGTGTAATCATCTTTGCCTTCTTCAACCGCCATTGAAGAACAATCAGCCAAGCTTGTGATGGGAGAGTGTCTGTATTTCCACACCTTTTATAGGCCTCTACTTGGTCTTCATTACATGCGGCCGAATTGTTCGGCATCATTATTATTATTATTTTTGCATTTTTTTTCCAATAGCTTTGACTTGGGTTTCGCGAGCGAACCTCGTTTAAGAATTTCCGTAAAATAAAAGGACGAAATTGATAATAAATATATGGTTTCTAGAGAAGGAAAGAATAGATGATAACATGAGAATAGTCCAAGCAAGTTGTCGTACAAGACAATTGAGTCCACTTCTTGTGTTCAGCGAATGGCGTGATTGAACGTTGGTTCGCAAGCAATCCAAGTCAGATCTTATACAGGAAACTGCCTTTTCTTTTTCTTGGCTATGTCGACGGGAAAAATTGCAAATCCACGATTCAACATATTTATTCGTCGTTACCCCTTAACGTCTCAAATTTAGGCACGACATCGGTAAGAACGTATAAACGTTTATTGTCGAATAGTTGAGAGTCTTTCGAACAGATATTATCTTATATTCATACCAATAAAAAGAAACGTATCTATTTGTCAATTAATCCAATTAATAAGAAAATTAAAATTATTTATTTTTATAAATTAATTTTTGTATATAAGTAACTAATTTTATTCAAAATAAAAAAAATATCCGGAATTACAATAAAGTTTTATAATTATAATAGTAAATTAAGCACATAATTAGGTTACTTTCCTATAATCATTTAAACAAAACTAATAACTTAAAATCGCATAAGGACCATACAAAGAAAAATTAAAAATCTAACCAAAAAATTCGAACAAAGGTAGATACAAACAGATCTGGACGCATCGGTAAACGAACCACAAAAGGATCAAGCTATTGAAAGATCACCGACAAACCGCAAACATACTCGAACGACGTGAAAAGCTATCCACGAATACAAATCGAACATCCAAATTCAATCCGAGTCCAAAGCAAGGAAGATCAACAAGATAACGGATAAGTGTCATCTTGATCAGTCGTGGCGATGTCAAATCAATCCTTAGAAAAATATAAATAAAAAAATTGCCAAACGGTCGTAAAACATATCAAAAGTCATAAGAAAATGTTTCATAAAAACATATGAAAATGTGTTATATAGACAGACTTATTAAAAATAAAAAAGGAAAAAAGAAAACCGAGGTACGATATAAGAAAAGAAAAAGACAATAAAGAATACATACGGTCGACAACCAACATTAAAATTAAAACCACCGCCGATCAACAATAACTAAAAGAAAAAAGATAAACGGAACACCAATGAACGATCGAAAGAAAACTATGTCTTTTCAATTGATTAAGTATTATAAACGGATATACGTATAATATTAATCATGTATAATAGATTGATGATATAGTGATGGATTGGTTGAAAAATCCAGATTCAAACTTCTGGTGTATTTCGAATATTAAAATTGAAAAAAAAAGTTCCAATAATAATTTCCGAAATATAATATATATACAAGTGTGGGTGTGAAAATGAGAGATAAATTATTTTAATTAACACGAAAATGAACCCTTCTTAAAGTAAAGTGTAATTGTCGTGAAATTATTGCTTTTATTTTATTTAATTATCCCCTAATTCTTATATTTCAGATTTTTAAAATTTAATCCTTTACATTTAATTCAAATAATTTAACCCTCTACATATATAATTTATATATAATTATTATATTTTTAATAGTATGGGTGATTAAAAGGTAATACACCGCTCGAATTTAGGATCTTTAGGAAGAACAACACTCTCTTCAATTAATGAGGTCACGGTTCATATATAGTTATAACAGTTTGAATTTAATGATATAAGTGTTCTAATTACGTATATCAATAGCAATGTTCAATCGGTCGGTTTAGTTAATTGACTGAACCTATCTATCAAAAAATCATTAACTAATTTTTTTTCCTTTAACCATTAATCGAATCAAAAAGTTCGGTTAATTAGAAGGTTAACCGAATTAACCAAAATTTATAAATAACATGTATTAAATTTTTGATTCATTTGGTCCATTAATTCTGATAAAACTGAAGTTTAAACACTCATAATATATAAATAATATATATAATATATTAAATTTTGAAATTTTTGATTAATTGGGTTAGTTAACCGATTTCGAACCGAACTAACCTATAACCAAAGTTTTAATCGTTAACCGATCGAACCAAAAATTAACCGATCGATTAACCCAAAAAACTTCAATTCGATTAATTAATTCGGTTAAAACCGAACTTTGAACACCCATGATATCCAATAAGAATTTTGTTCACTTGTATTCAAGTCTAAGAATTATTAAAGTCTTGAATGAATTTTTAATATACATATTACTAAAAATACTATTGTATATGTTATTATCTAAAATTATAATTATTTATAATTTATTTATAGAATTATTTTTTAAAATATTAATTTAATCATATATTAAAATTGAAAAATATTTTAATTAATTGTTATATGTATATTATAAATAAATAATTTTGTAATGTAACCATTTCACCGTAGAAAAAGAAAACAATATGACAAAACAAATCCTAGGGGCTGGTGGAGCCCAGTTCCTCTAGATTCTTACTATTTTTAATAATTATATTTTTTGTTGGGGTAAACTATATGTTTAGTACCTTAGCTATCATTTTTATTTTGTTTTGATCACCTAACTATTTTTAAAAAAATTATATCTAATGTTACGTCTTGGTTTCATTTTGATCATGTTAAAAATTAATAGAACTGCTTACATGACATTTTTTATTTTTTTTAATGACACGGCATTACCAAAACTAAACGTTAGGTATGATTTAAAATTAATAATTGAGAGATCAAAAATAAATTTGGGGTACTATACATGTAGTTTGCCCTTATTATTTTAAGCGAGATTATGATATGCTCTGCTTTGGCCTTCTATCAATTACTATTAGAGAAAATCGCCTCAGTGACCAAAAAAAAGTTATAATATACGATTTTAACCAACTTTTTTTGGATTTGCCAAAATGACCAACAAAATCGCAACGCGAAATAAAAATCGCAACGCGATCCCCAGAATCGCAAATCAGTTTCCAGAATCGCAACGCGATTCTTGAAAATCGCGATGCGATAGTACAAATTCGCATTGCGATTTTCCATAATCGCAACGCGAATATGAAAATCGCAACGCGAACACATAAATCGCAACGCGTATCCGTAAATCGCAACGTGTATCCGTAAATCGCAACGCGTATGGGTAAATCGCAATGCGTATCCGTATATCGCAACGCGTATCCGTAAATCGCAACGCGTATCCGTAAACCGCAACGTGTATCCGTAAATCGCAACGCGTATCCGTAAATCGCAATGCGTATCCGTAAATCGCAACGCGTATCCGTAAATCGCAACGATAATCCGTAAATCGCAACGCGTATCCGTAAATCGCAACGATAATCCGTAAATCGCAACGAGAATCTGTAAATCGCAACGATAATCCGTAAATCGCAACGAGAATCTGTAAATCACAACACTGAAATTTTGGGTATATAACACTGAAATCATAAACTAAATCCCTAAATCGCAACTCATTCCATCTCCATCTATCACTCTCTCCGGCGACATCCGTTCCTATATCCAACGACATCCTTCCCCATCCGCAACAGGTCTTAGTTTCGCATCTCGTTTGTTTAGTTACAACCATGAAATCATCTAATGTTGATCATGTTTGGATAGATTTGTGTTTTGGAGGGTCATGGGATAATGTTAATGGTGTTTTACAATATATGCCTTTACCCATAAATCTTCAACTAAAATTGTCTTTACAAAAGTTAACTTATGAAACTCTAATGCTACGTGTTTCAAATAAATTGAATTTAGAGCCCCTAAGTGGATTTAGGCTATCTTATCAGAGAAATGGTAAAGTTTATTTGTTAACCGACAATGAAGATGTTGAACGATTCATTGCTTACATTAGTGTTTCACAAGATGATGTTACATTGTATGTTGTTGAACCTAGAAGTAGTATTGTTGGGTCAGTAGCGGGTAGTAATCAACTAAGTTTTTCTCAAAACCCACAACCTTTCTCTAATCCAAATCCCAATCAACTTTCAGCACCAAATTCCGGTTTTCGTATTGACCAGTTAGACGATGATGAGCCAACAGAAAAAATTGTGAGTACTAGTCAGTATTCGAAATTTGGTCTTGGTCAATATCCGGACTTTGATATTGGTCAATACACGGATTTTGATGATGTTTCAGAAGAAGAAACAGACCATGCGTGTAATGATATTGATATTGGTCAATACCCGAATTTTGATGATGAAACAGCCGTTGCCGAAGAATGTAATGTTGATGATAATGAGGAGGAAGTTACGACTGTGAATGAACATGTTGAACATCCATTCTGTAATTCATATAATCCTGAAGAAGAAAAAGAAGAAGAAAAAGTCCCCGAAGAAAAGAAAATGCCACGGGCGTATAACTGGAATATGCCAGAATTACTTCAGATACCGGAAGAAGAGTTGATAAAGAAAGCAGTTGATTGTTACACAAAAGTTATTCGTATCAAGAAAGATGATTGTTTTGATACAAAGGAAGACTTGAAGATAGCTTTATATACGAAATGTGTGGAAGATGGCTATCAACTAAAAGTTAACAAATCAAGCAAAGATCGTTTCGAAACAAGGTGTATGATTGACAAAAACTGTACGTGGCGTATGATTGCAAAGAGAATAAAAGATTGCAAAATGTTTCAAGTTAGGACTTTTATTGATAAACATACATGTTCAAGAACCCAAGTTTTTCCTCACCATAGACAGGCAAACAAAAAGGTGTTGGGTGGTTTTCTGGCTGAGTTAATGTTTTTGAATGGCAGGGTATATCGGGGACATGAAATTATGACTGACATGAATGCTCGGTTCAAGATTAGTATATCATATTCTCAAGCTTGGAGAGCCAAATGTTATGCCTTGGAATTGTTGAGGGGGTCGCCAGAAGCATCGTTTGCCCAACTGCCGGCTTATTGTCACAATTTAAAGCTGAAAAATCCTGGG